TATAGCTTGTCACTTCCTTACCATGTACTCCTTCCTTGCTACTGCTCTTGATTTTTCCAATCACAACTTCATCATTAAATGGGCGGAAGACAACGTAGCGGAAATGAACTGTAACCAATCATAGAACTCTATAATGAGTTATATGCTATTTTCCATTCAGGTGCAAAATTCTTGCATTTTCAGCACTGTGCAAGGACGTCCATTAAACCAAATGTAAAAAGAGTGATCCTCCACTACAAATATCTGACAGTTCTACCTGTATCCACAACTTTCTCTGAAGTTCAACACTGAAACTAGTAAAACATAAACAGCTAGGTTTCTTCTGGTTTATTATAGTCGGACTAATGTTACAGAAACATAAGAGCCAAAGTATGATCTAATACTGAGATTATAAACACTTGCCAACAGTATGGGAGGAACCATCCCCTGGTAATATGTAGCTGTCTTCTAGCTTAGTGATGTCCCACAGAGCTATACATAGTCCTACATTGTGAACAACCTGTGAAATAAAACATGATTCATTCAATGGAATAATTGCCATGAAGATGAAAGAATCAATTTTCAAAGTTCCATGTACTTTTTAATATAAGCTAATTAACATTTTCATTGTTCAAATATGAAGTCTTTCACAAAAAATTACTGTCATGTTTTAAAAAGAAAATTACATGTATATTTTCTCTCTCTTCATCAGGAGAAAAAAGCAATTACCTTATTAGCTAGTTTTTTGTTAAGAGCCTCTACCACGGCATCTGTGAGTTTGACATTGAACTGCCATGGGGGAATACGCACAGTGTCCTTAATTTCTGCTAATACAAACATCTTGTTGGATTTTGTTAATGCAGCATTCTGTCATCTAAACACCTGCCAAATAGCAAAATAGAAATTTGTGTTATTTATAGTCAAAAGTCTGTCATGCCAGTCTTATATGTTTGGCTTCATATTGGCATAACTGTTGGATATAAAGAAGAACTATACCTTATTTATAGCACTGCCACTGGAAAAACTGATGGTTTTTCAGAAGTGTGCAACTAGAGGTAATGAAGGTTAACCAAAGTTAAGATTTAAGAACTACTGAAACAAACTACTGATTCATTAACCAAAACCCCCTGGACGGTTTCTTTTCAGTGTCCTTTGTACAACCATGAAACTGGCATCGCTGTGGATATATACAGGGGCGGACCCAAAGATATTTTCTGACAGTCTTCCAAATTATCTTTGTTGATTCATCCTTCATTTTTGACCGTCTTCCGACAGAAAAAATTATATACCCATCAATGTAAACTTGAAAATCTGACCGTCTTCCGGAAGACCCAGAAGACGGCCTAAATCCGCCCCTGATATAGAAAGGAGGCACAGAAGCATCACTCTGGTTGCAGAAGCCAGTTGTCGGCACACAGAGTTTTATTTTTTTAACTCTCAAATGGGGCCATACTACGGGACGCAGAAATGAGAAATGATGCCATCAAGTGTAAAGAGGATTTAACCATCATTGTACAGTAACTGGCAGTATGTGCACCTACATGTATATCTTTCCTGTATTTTTACATATCACAAAATGTAGAGAGGAGTGTTAAAACATGGAACTTTATAGGCTTCTAAAACATGAACAGAAGATCCATATCTGCAGACCACATTTCTAAATGACATTTAAAAGTGTGATATTATTCCTGAATGGAAGTTCGCAAATGCAACGCATCTAGAAACCATGAACCCATACATGTATCTAACGATGTACTGTTCTAGTATGTGTGTTACATACGTTACTTTTTTTATTTAATTGGTGAGTGGGTGTGGTAGGGTTAGGGTTAAGGTGCAAAAAGAAGAGATGAGTGAAAAGTCTGGATAACAACCAGTGCCGTGGTAAATTTACTTCACAAGTAAAGCAGTACTAGTAGTACTGAGTTTGGTAGCAGTGTACATGTATTAATAAGAAAAGCTGTCTGCTCCGTGTGTGAAGAATAACTGTTAAATTTACAAAAATATTTTGTTTATTTTATTATAATGCAATCTACAAAACCTACCTGACTGTTATGTCAGTAAGTTTTCTTTTCGCCATCCTTTCCCATGTTATTTGTGCTATTCTGAGCAATTAAAAAAACGCAGTATATAAGGTGGTGAGTTTGTTGTCAAATGGACCATGCGACCGGAAATAAGACCCGTAGTCTGCAGATGTGCAGTGTTCTGATTGCATGAAATAACGCATCGCTTTATACATATAAAACATCAATTTTTTTTAATTGTCATTATTAATGGGTGGTAGTAAAGGAGAAATTTTCTATTATGATAATAAAAATCAAATATCATCTATGTGATATTTTGTCCAATCAGATAAAGGGAAATGCATATCAACATTACCGCCATACTTCGAAAACCTCAAACCGAACTTGGAAAGTTGTATGTTTTCAGTGTGTAAATATGAGGTAAGTGGTTCTTGATTACTTTGGAAAATCAAAATTCATATTTATGGTATATAATAAAAAGTAGAATGAAAATGTGCAGTTTTGGCAGAAACTTGTAATATTATAAGTGACACTGTTGGAACTCCTTGTAGCTTGTAACGTACATGTATGGTAGTCTTCATTACCAGTCATATCGACCGGTAGAAGCAACTATCGGAAACGTATGTTGGTTCCCTACCCCACTTTATTGGGGAGAACGGTGCTCTTTTTCAAACATAACAGATATCACTGAGATACCATTATTTCAATAAGGCGTTTCAGTATAGAATACACAGACTCTACATTTTGCAGTCTCCAACTTCCAAGACCAAGTCAAATTTTTAATGTCTACATCCAACATCTTGCTTGGCTTTCCCTGTTCAAGACCTATAGACAATGAAACCCCTATTATAAAAGTAGATGATGTCAATGTTACCTTCTGAAATGCATGTAGAAGACAAGGCAGTCCTAGCTACTGGAAACATCTAGCACTAAATTGTTTAATTAAAAAAGAAACCATTGAATCCAAGTGCATGAATGGGTTGAGCATGCAGTGGCTTGTGAGTAGGTTTGGCAGGAAAATTGTTAGCAATACAACCATAATATAATTTTATACATTGCTCATGCAGATTTGAAGCAACTGTTCTGCTTTCTCATACTTTTTATTTCACTTTCAGATCATGAAGACTGACAAATGATGCCACCTCAGTGTTACACTTATGGAGAATTTTGTACTGTATGAAGAATTGTTCAAGGGAGAGCACTCTGTTATCTACAAAGGCAGAAGGAAGGGCACCATTAACTTTCTTGCCATCCATTGCATAGACAAATCTCAAAGAGCATTTATCACAAATCATGTGAGTTATGTTTTTTTGCTCAGATATTTTAACTTATGTGTAAAATGCTGTACACTATTTTGATGTGAATATGCATAAACGGAGATCACACAGTTATTATTGTGCCACCAGAGTAGAGCAGGTTTTACAGCCTTTACTACCACATACATGTATTTACTGCGCAAAGTACAGTGTAATCTTAAAGAGTTTTGTTAACATATTGTTTAGAAAAATATGAAAAAAATTAAAAGTCACATATGGTATTTGGTGTTGTGTATTGCAGGTGAGACTGACCAATGAGATCAGCCATAAGAATATTGTCAAGTTTTATGAGTGGTATGAGACCAGTAATCATCTATGGCTAGTAGTGGAGCTATGTACAGGTAGGAATCAATGGATATAATATATGGAATAATGCCAATCAAACTGAATACATTGTTTTATTTAAAGTATGCCCCTCGTCATAATGAAGGTAAGTTACACCTTTGTTTTAGTGTAGCAGATGAAAAGTTTAATAGTATAACAAGATAAATTATTTGTGTGTGAAAAATAGCAGTTTATTTTGCTTGTCTTTTGATGTTATTGTGGCTTTTGGACTGTATATTTGTCACAACATTAGAAAATTGCTATTTTGTTTCCATGGAAGCATATTTTCTTCTTTAGGTGCCATAGCTAATAGTTAACACTTTGATAAAATAAACTTGCATATTTCATCTTTTCACAGCCATTTTGAAGTTGTAGTCAAACATTGAAAATAGCCAGAGTGATGTGTTGTATGTGAAAATATGATGTTTGAATTATACAAGAAAATTTTGGAGATTCTGTCATTTTTCATTTTGAATCACCTTCAAAATTTTCTAGGAGGGAGCCTGGAGTCTCTGCTAGCCCAGGATGGTCATCTTCCTGAGAGTGCTGTGAGGAACTTTGGGGTAGATCTTGTCACTGGGCTGCACTATATACATTCACTTGGATTAATTTTTGCAGATCTTAGACCTGCCAAGGTAGATTATTAATTTTAAGTTGTTCAAGTTTAGGTAGTTGGAACTCACCGTATAAGATTAAATTATTTCAGAATGATGTTTTGTGCACTAGGTGGAATATATATTTGCATAATAAGCAAGTATGATTTTATGGGATGTGCTGTTATTTGAAAACTTGTGGGGAATGTTTATCGACTAGTAATATTTCAAGATATTTCTTTGTCTATAGATCATCAGATCCATAATATGTAAAAGTTTGTTACAAACTTGCACAAAACTTGGAAAATTATTAATATTGTATGAAATATTGCACATACATAATATGAATACATAATTAAATTACTTCTTCATTATTATAGATAGATAATCAGTAAATAATATTTTGAAATAATTATAGATCCTCTTAGATGGTCCGGGTGTTCTGAAGTATGGAGATTTCAGTCTTACTCGCCTGGAGGGTGAAAATTTAGAGGAGATGTTCATCCATTTTGCAGAGTCAGGAGGTGAAAGTGTAGACCAGGAAACATCCCCAAAACCAGATGCCTCAGGTAATACATGGTGGTGCATTCATGGAGTTTATTTATGAAAATATTCATTGATTTATGATTCCAGCAAGAAGTGAAGATTGTCTGAAGACTTTGTTGGGAGTCCTGTAGAGTATAGGTTCATACAAAGAGCGTATGACTCATTTAAGTACATTGGTTAAAATTCACATAAAAGTTTCTCAGTGTAAAGAATGCAGCTAATAGCCAGAAAGAGTTCAACAGTGGCAAACAGTGCCATCCTGAATAATGTTAGGTTTGCATGCTCTAAGTATGTTCTCAGCAGTTATGTTTGCTTTTTTGTTTTGGTAGGTTCCCCTTCATATATGGCTCCAGAAGTTATCCAGGGAGGAGAGTATAGTATAGAGAGTGACCTGTGGTCACTGGGCTGTGTCCTTTATGAACTTTACACAGGTATGTACAGTATTTTGGGAAAACCAGGTGTTCTTGTTTTTAGAGTGACAGAAAAGTTAGTTGTGACAGATTATGATATTTTTTTTATTTAAGCTATTGAAAAGTTTGATAAGAAAAAGGAACAAAAAGAAGTGCAATTTTCATTTTAAATATGTTTTAGAACTGGCTCAAATGACTTGAAATTGCTTTTAGGTTTGTGTTTGTGATTTATCTGTTGAATAAATCAAATTTTCACACTGATAGAGGTACTTAAAATATCCTGTTCTTAATGCTGATTGAAAACTATCTCCCATTGTGTTTTAATTTTAGGTCACCCCCCATTCCTAGCTGAGGGCTTTGAACAACTTGTTGATAAAGTGCTGCACAAGGAACACTCCACTCCTAAAGTCAAAGGTAGCTATTTTAGCTATTATGTCTAAAGGATTCATTTTGAGGTTTTAAGTCTTCACATGTCTGTTTACTAGACACAACTGATAACTGTGTGTATCAGGATTACCATGTAATCAGTTGGACTGTGTATTAATTTACAAAGGTCTCCTTTAGATTTGTGGAAAAATTGCATACTTAATGAGCACTGGTTTGTTCTCTGATAAGCAAAGCTGTAAAATATATAAGATGAAAGACAACAGAAATTTATTTTTAATTCAGGCAGCAGGTTCTCAGGCAAAGCTTCACCAGAGTTTGTAGATTTGATCAACGGTTTTCTTAAGAAGAATCCAAATGAGAGGTGAGTTAAGAGTGACAGATATTTCCTTGATCCAGTTAATGTTAATTTACCACAACATATCATTCACAATAATGCTGATAACAATCATGACATGCATTATGACAAGCATTTTTATAAAAAAATAATAAAAAAATTTTTGGGCAATCAGGAGAAAAAAATATCTTATTTATCTTTTTTGAAAAGTACAAGATGATAATTTGAAAGACAAATCCTACAATGTAGTAGTAGTGAAATTGCTCAACAGTATTTAACTAACAATTTGGGAGTAACAAGTTATTCGGAAAGACAGCAAAATTAAGCAGTCTGGATAGTAGGTACATACAGTCAATAGATGTTTGTATGAATCTTGAAGATACCAAACTGGTATTTGGATCATTATCCATGAAGTACATTGTGTGGTTAACATCCCCTGTAGGCTAGGCTGGAAGGGACTGGTCAACCATCCATTTTGGCAGGGGGCACTGCGGGGCCTGGCGCAGGACCTAGAGGGAGGGCCGCCTAGTGTGAAGGCCAGCCTGGCTGTGTCCAAGTCACTCAGGGAGAGTGTTACCATGACAACAGGCAGAAAGATCAGCTCAGTGCTGGGGAAGGTGGTGGTGCTAGAGGGCAGCACTGAGAAACCCTTATTACTGGACAACGTGGCAGAGAATGTTGACCAGTCTGAGAGACCTGTATCTTCTCTTAGTGACCAACCCAGACCAAAGAGTGCTCAAGCCAATTCAGATTTGAAGCCTATGTTTACTTTGAGGTATTTTTTCAAAATCTTATTTAGATTGTGAAGTTTAGTATAATTTTAACAGTGATAGGGTTTTTAGTTTGACGCAGAAGTTTTGTATTTGGTTTTCTACTATTGATAGTAAGGATAGAGTGCCTGTTTCATGTGCTATCCCTTGGTAAAGATCAATGATATCTATAACTTGTATGACCTGGCACAGCAAGACAGCATTGTCTGTGTTATATTTAAGTTTATATCAGTATATATATGTAATGTGTGTCTATGTTCCACCTCCAGCTCTAGACCAGGCACAGTGGGACAGCAGGATGAGAGGGTGACGTCCCCTCACAAGCTAGCGCAGTCCCCTCTCTCCATCAAAGAAACTTTCAGGAAGAACAAGACTCCTAGAGCAGAGGCTGTCATAGCTGAGGAAGCACAGAGTGAACTACAGGAGCTGATTTACCATGAGTCTGACTGGACTGTCACACAGATAGTAGACAATCCCAAGGTAAGATATTTTCAGCACCACCTCTGGTTTTTCTCTTCTTTTGAAATTAATTACTAGAGAGGCAATACTGAAGGTCATTTGAACTGATAAGGCAGGGCGTGGAGCATGAATGCAGGGCAATAGATGGACAATAGGAGTTACTGAGCATACCCCAAGGAATTATACCAGACAAGGTAGACAGATGGCCTCACCAAAATATATGGCTTCACATGACCAACAAAGAACAATAAGTAGAGAAAAGAACAAAGTATTATGGAAGCATTCCCGAGAGGGGTTCTTCCAAATGCAGTAATAATAGTCTTGAATTTAGAGCCCTAGCAGATTTTTTGTCTACTGACTGGAATCTTCAATATTTATTGAAAAATTATTTAACCATTTTCTCAAGCAATGTCTTATTGATAAAATTTGTACAAAATATCTGTTTTTTCCAGAAAATAAAGTTTTAATGTTTCATGTTTTATTTTCCAGGTTATGAAGCCAGCTCCATTGAAATATGATGCCAAGACTCTACCAGTTCCTCCTTATTCAGGTCAGTTGAATGGTGCTATATTTCTAAATAACTAGAGCTTTTAGTTGTCTAAAGCTGGATACTAGTCAGCTGACCAGTCTACTAAGTCTATATAGCTACAGTTTATGAACCAAATAACCAAAAAGATGTCATCGTGTATATCTTTACGCTTAATGAACCGGCTATCACTGACAGTCTAAACTTAAGTCATCTGTACATCATAGTCTAAGATGCAAGATGCGTGGTCCTTAACATTTGGGGAATTTATATGTATCTAGATGTGAACCTACATACAAATGTCATGTTTCAGTTTTAAGATGTGATACAAAATTACTCTTTGGATGTTTCTGAAATAGTTTAGTATCAGCCTCAGTTCTGAAAGTCACTACTAGTTATTAGGGAAAAACTTGAATGCTTATACATTTGAATAGACTAAGTGTAATTTGAAATGGTCGTGAATTTTTGAATAAATATTTTTATTCACATAAATCCCCAAAACTTATTATTCTCTGCTCAAGTTTGTTTTCTTATTCCTGTCTCATTGTTACTTTTAAATATAACTATTTCAGTGGACAAGATTTTGTCTCTGCAGTCCAAGGACCAACTGAAGCACATTCAGTTAGTGGTGAACACCATAGAGTCTCCAGAGAAGGGACCTCCCTCTCAAAAACGCATGCATTTCCTGAACTACCTGGCAGTAATAGCCAGCCACCCAGTCATTGCCAACTTGCTGGTGAAATGTAATGGGTTGAGTGTACTGGCCAGACAACTGAAGGAGCAGCCTCATGAACTGCAGTAAGTTCAGAGACCCTAGTCTGTGACAATGAATACAGACATGGGGAAAACTTTGGAGGTACTTAAGGTCCAGAGCACCTGCACAACAAGAAATCTGCAGGCCCTCCTAATTCTGTGTAGGACCATGAGTAGATGTTTACGTATAATTATTTTTTTGTTTGTCTTTCCACATAAACCTTGTCTTTCCAGAGGACCTGTGTTTTTAAAAACCTTGCTGGTCCCCTGGCTTTTCAGGCAGTCATGACTGGTGGGACCGACAGTTTCCCCATGTCTGTGAATAAAGAACCATAGGAGGCAGTTCTTACCTCAGTGAAATAATTTACATTTTGTAAATACTTTCTGTTGGAGTGTCTGTATAAAAACAATGGAACTTTTGATGATGATGATGTGATGTTGTGGTTTGTACCATAGTGTTCTTACTTCCAGCCGTACCAAAGTGGCCAGGGCAATGGGGCTTGCTGCTTACTGCTGTACAGAAGTAGAGGAAACGTTGAATCTGACTGAGGTAAAAAGAGATCTGCTAATTGAAAAAAAATTAGTTTTAACTGTTGATTTATGCTACTGGAATAGTAAATATTTTGCATTATAAAGAAGTAAGGGTATTTATTGTGTGTTCAGTGAAGTTTTCAAAACAAATGTTTAAAGATTGAAAGGAAAATGTCATTGGACGAAATTGCATGAATAACTTAATGTTGGTTTCTCTCAGCCTGTGACGGTGATAACTGAACTGATAAGAGATGGGTTCAGAAATACAAGACAAAAGCAGGGCCTGCTTCCAGCATTGGGAGAGCTCCTATTCTTGATAGCATCACAGGAAGAGGTTAGGGGACACCCTGTGGAACACTGGGGCATCCCCTCTGTATCCTTTACCATGGTAACAAGGTGTTTGAGGGAAGGGGTAAGAGCATATAGTTTGTCAGCCAATGGTTATTTATCTTATAATTCTTTTGTCATCTATATTTGGTATTTCTTTTAACTTGTGAACTAAAATGAGAAAATAAAATAAAAAGGATTGAATGTTGAATGAAAGTAACAAACCACCAAGCATTATACTAGACTTCATTCTAATTTGATATTTTATTAAAAACAATTTGCGACATTCTTACCAACATGTTTGTGAAATATTATATTCAATCCCTATATCTTTTATCGCAGGAAGATCCAGTTGTTAATCATTGTGCAGCCAAGATTATAGAGAATATAGCTTCTATCAATGGACAGCATATAGAGGTATGTGATTACAGAAATTTATAGCTTCTACCAATCATGTTTATATTGGAATATGCCTGTTGAGGAATTCATGTATGTGTTTCTTAAATTTGGAGGAGTTATAGAAGTTTTCTGATCCTTTGAAGAACATAGTTTTTGGTATGGATATTGTAGAGACCAATTGTGGATTTTTTAGATTCAAAAAACTTAAAACTGTGTCATAATTGTGTGATGGCCTTTGCATTAATGGAGTGGATTCAATTTTATATTGAATAATGTGTAATTTCAGAAGTTCCTTGGTAATGATGTGGCTCTTAGCTTATGGTATGTGTTCAATCATTCCACTGTGGACACACTTAGGATCACTGCAATCTCTGTAAGAATTCTGTTGTTGGACTTTGTGACTGGAGTTTCATTAGGTTTTTATATATAATAATAGTAATTATCATGTATGAATTATGAAAAGTTACTCTTACAGGACAGATAAGATATAAATTATGTCTCACTTTAATATTAAAAAAGCCTAATCATTACAGAAATCTAAATGTTTTAATGATATTTATTTATTGTATTATTAGTGTAGTAAATCCCCTCTAATCCTCTCCAGTAGATAGCACATAATTTCACAAACCTCTCTGCCTATTGAAGATGTGACCTTCTCCCTCTAGGCCTTGTGTCGCCTGGCCAAGCACTCGGTGTCAGTGTTCCAGTGTGTAATAGAGAAGGTTGGACTGCCCAGTGTACTGGACACTCTTGGGGCCAGTGTGTCCAGGGTCCAGCAAGCTATGGTCACTCTGTTTGCCTGCCTCATCTCCTCAGCTTCTCACTTACAAAGGCTTATGCAGGACAAAGTAAGGACATTTTTCTTTTTATGTACAGACACAGATGTGTCTGTACATATTGCCATCACCTGCGTCTGTCGTCGCCGTCGCCGATGCCGATGGCGATGCCGATGNGTGGTCATTCCTGCTAAAACGCAGGTTGAGTTAAAAAATCAGCTTAATCGGGCCATTATTTCAAAGAAATGCCGTTTTTTCACATTTCCTCAGATTCATTTCTTAGGCATGTTAACAGTTTCATTATTTAATTAATAAGATACGTAAAAGTGTTTGTTTGGCATTTCCTGCATCTTTACAACATTATTAATTGATTATGTAAAAATGATGGTAAACTTGTTATCGTGTATTGTGTAATAAAGTTTCAAAAATGGAAATAAACTCATATCATTGCAGTTTGTCAGATTCAATCATTAAAATTTTGCATCAGAATTGACAGTAGCCTATTATGTGCATAGTTATTTCCTGTTTTTTGTCTGTACATTTGACAGCTTTGCTGCCTTGTTTGATTTTGTTTTAAGGGAAGGGGGGGACCATTCCCACAGATATTTGGATCGATCTATCTTCCTGGGGAGTCTCACTAAATTGCTATCAAACTAACCAGCTGAATTGTCTATCATGCCTAGTAAAACTGTTAGGGGGTAATTATCTTTACCCCTCGCTGATTCAGTTGGTGTGACAGAAATTTAAGCCTCTTGAGCTTATAGCAATTTAGCGTAACCCCCTGGGAGTTAGGTTGATCAAGATGGATCGATCTAAGTATGGGAACCCAGTCAGGGAGATAAAGTGTTTTTGACTTAATCTGGAATATGTAACTGTTTAATAATGAACTGATTATGTTCACATAAGTATACTTTCTTTGCTAAAATCCCCAAAAAATATGTACACATCATTATTTAAATCCATTAATCATTTTATTGTGAGGCAATTGCACTGCCCATGCTGTCTGATCTCTCCATGGCATCATTGGTTTGCAGGATTTTGTGCAGAGGATAATGAAGTTGCTAGAACACCCCTCTGCCGTGATCCGTGCAAAAGCATTCCTTGTCATCTTGGAAGTTATACAACACAACCAGGAGATGGTGCTGGGATGTTGTCAGATGAGGTAGGCAGAGGGAGGGTGCTAGGATGATGTCAGATGAGGTAGGCAGAGGGAGGGAGCTGGGATGGTGTCATATGAGGTAGGCAGAGGGAGAGAGCTGTAATGGTGTCAGATGAGGTAGGCAGAGGGAGGGAGCTGTAATGGTGTCAGATGAGGTAAGCAGAGGGAGGGAGCTGTAATGGTGTCAGATGAGGTAGGCAGAGGGAGGGTGCTGGGATGGTGTCAGATGAGGTAGGTAGAGTGAGGGAGAGGCATGTATTGAAAGAATTCAAATGTTTTAGTCTGTTTGCCATCGACTCTTTTACACACACATAAAAGAAGAGTTTCTGATGATTCCAATATAGAGTGAGATGTTTTTAATAAATTACTTCAGATTGGTGATGTACATAGAGAGAGACTTTAAGAAGCAGACATCAGCGGCTGGTGACTATCAGGAGCAACTGGAGTACCTGGGAAGGTGTCTGGACCTGATAATCCAGTACATTGTGGAGACAATACCTAAAATAAACTGTAGGTATCACAGTAGATATATATAGAGATAGGCAGTTCTAGTCATGCTGACAGCCTTTCATTCTAGCACACAGTGGTCTACTGTATGGAATCAAATCACATGTTGCAATGTGCAGTGCATTTTATAATGTGAAAGAAGCATCCAAGATTAATTTGGCCACATTCAAAATTAAGTTTGTTTCATTTTGTATTAAATAATTACTATAAACCTAGAATATGGTATGAATCTGTCTAATAAAAAATTGAGCATTTGTTTTTCATATGATATGTAAGTGTTGCTAAAGCGTGCAGGTTCTTGGATTGGAAATTATTGAATGTTAGGCGTTACTGAATATTTATGATCAGTTACTTCCAGACTTATTGTTGATTATTTTCTTAATGGTATGATAAACTGTACAATTAACTTGCCCGCCTTTGTCTTCAGCTGAAATGGTGTCAGCCCTGGAAGCAGTATCAGGCAGAAAACATCCTTCCACAGTTCAAGCCAAGCAACTGAAGGCATGGCTTCCTATGATGCCAGTACTGCTGCACTTAGTCACAAGCCAGGTAAGAAGTCTTTGTCTGTGGTAGCAGTTATAGTGCATGTACTCACTCATGTCTGTGAAAAAGTGGCTCACCAGCCAGATAGATTTCCACCTATATTGGTTATGGATAACACTATACCAGTGCTGTTAATAAAAAAATAGACTATCAAGGGCTATCCCACACATAGCTGTACTTTTCATTATACAGATCCAATGTCCCTATGTGTAGTGAACTGTTGCTGTTTAATGCTTGGTCAAAATAGGCAAAGATTTTCACTCTTGAGGTAAAAGTCAACTTTAGACTTGGGTTCTTTTGTGATGGTGGGGTCATTTTACCCTGGTCAGAATGGAAGATTCCCTTCCAGGATGCAGCATTGCTTGTATAGTAGTCACTCACAGGGGTGGATCCAGAGATATTTTCTGACAGTCTTCCAAATTATCATTGTTGATCCATCTTCCATTTTTGACCGTCTTCCGACAGAAAACATTAGATGGCTGACAATGTAAACTTAAAAATCTGACCGTCTTCCAGAAGAAACAGAAGACGGCCTAAATCCGCCCCTGACCCATACCTCATTGAGCATAATGATATATTCACATGATTTGGGTAGTTTAATTGTAATACAATAACATACAGTATCTTTTTCATTAGTTAACTTGAAATTGATTTACAGATATTCCGTCCCAAAGTTGTGACCAAAGAGTTTTTTGAAACCCTGGCTACATTCCTGAATCATGTGAAATCCATTGATGCTGGAGAAACCAATATTGAACCAGCCACAGGTAGGTAACCATGCTCTTCCAGGGAGAGGGGGGTCAATATGGTATTGACTGATGGTTGTGTGAAACAATTTTAAGTTTATTTTAACAAGATATGCTTGATGGTTGTGTTGGTTGAATTATGTTACTTGAATTTCTTCTATTATATTTTAGTCTGGATGACTGGTGCTATATTTTGGCCAAATTGCTCAAAATGTGGAAAAAGCATGAAACTTGGCACAAATGTTCTTTGGTCTATACTGATCATTTTCAAGGGCAGTGCCCAAAATTTCAAAGCGTTGCTTAGCAACTGTTGCTATGGAAGTGAATTTCCTTAGTAACAAGCTAATTAGACCTTTCTTGTCCAGTTTAAATTGTTTAGAAATGCTTATAACTATGTTTCAGGGCATCAGAACTGTCACTTGACTATTTTAAGGCAATTAAAACCCAAATTAACCTTAGCTACGATTGCTAGGCAGCATATTACCCTAGCAACAAGCATTTAAATTTGCGTTAGTCTATTAAGTAAGGCNACCCTGGAAAATGATCAGCATAGTCCAAAGAACATTTGTGCCAAGTTTCATGCTTTTTCCACCTTTTGAGCAATTTTTGCACCAGTCATCTAGACTATTTTACAATATGTCACTTTCTAACACATAATACTGAAATTTTCATGGTGTTCCATTTTGCCCATTTATTGCTTGGCTTGGATCTTACACTGGATACCTCTCCATACAGAGGACATACTAGGTATTATTGGTGTAGTCATAGTAGTACCACCCATAGGTTGAACTTAGCTCCAATGTCAAGCTGAGGAAATGCTTCAGTTAATCTTTTTCTCTAAAAATATTTTCTCATCTCTGTGTAGCATATCACCCATTCCAATATTTAGCTTTATATTGATTATGTATTGGTTATCAGACAGCATCATGCTTTTAGTATGTAGCATAAGTAAACTGAAGACATTTTAGCTTGTTGTTTAGTCTTAATTGTTACAGACAGTTCTTACATTTTTGTCTGATTTTCAACAGTCATTGCCAGTCTTCTTCAGGACAAGTACAACTACTGTTCTGAACAGGTGTTATTGTGCACAAGGTTTTTTTTAATTATGCTAAAGGGAGAGTCATCTGTTATCATAGCTGATCAGTTAACATACTATTAAGACACCTATGTGCAATAATATCTCTGTAAAACTGATCATTGATAGCATTTGTGACTTGTCCTGAACACAAATGGTGTCCATTGAAAATTAGACAAAAAACAGCAAACTAAAATAGTTTTATAACCAGTCTAAGACTAATGAATTTCTTCAAGAACCTGACTGTCTGCATTTGCAACCCAAGCAGTCAGATGTATTTAGAAGTCATCTGCTTTCTTTGTCCATACATCTATTCCCTATTGTTGTCATATTGCATGTGTGAAAATGAGGGTTTAAATGTTAGCAATCCTATGTATAATGGTCTTTAAAATAAAGAGGATGTTATGCACAGAATTAACATATAACAGACATTATTCATAATGAATATGATATTGAATAACAGCATAACAGCACTTAAATAAATACCACCTTGTATCTTAGAGTGTGTAGTAAGCTTAAGAAATGAAGATTGGCAAGCTGGTGTTGATTGCTGCTGATGTTCACACTATAGGTCCTGCAGGAACAGAAGAGTTCACCAACACAGTGTTGTCCATCCTTGAGGCCATCAGCCAGCACCCAGGTCTGACCACACAGTTCTCTGGACCAGTCATAGAGAAGATCTTACCAGCACTAGGAGCCTTCATATCCAGTCAGAATGGTAAACAGAAGACTGGGGGCTATAGATACACATCTTTGTGTTATTCTTGTACGGAGAAGAATGTGAAAATTTAATACCCATTTTGAGTTTAGGGCAAATGTAATGTTTTGCTGGGGGAACCAAAATGTTGAATTGTACTTAAGCATGGATACTGCTCTTTTGTCTGACCTGACATTACAGTGTTTATCAAAAAAACTCCTGTGGCACTGATAGTAAACAGTAGTGTTTTAATATGGCAGAAATGCAGTTATTTATGCTGGACCTTTTTCATTTCCTTCATCGATTTTCAGTTGATTTTAATTTTGAAAAACTATGAAAACCACAATTGTTCAGAGAGACAACTGATATAATTACTGCAGGTAACACTCGTGCCATGTGTTTGAGGCTGTTCAGTGACCTGGCCACCACCTTCCTGAATGAGGAGCAGTTTGAGGTATCTCACAGAGCCAGCACCAAGCTACTACAACACATCATCAGAGAGACATTGCTGCCTCAGTAAGTGACTGTCAGGTTCAATGGCAGACTTGGTTTGAATAATTTTCATACAAAATTGACAGATATAAAGGTGTGTAAAGTAGTGTATATGTGGTTGTTTTTCCTGTCTTGTTGCTGTTAGGGATGTTTAAAAAATTTGCCTATGCCACTGTATATAATTATTTTTAGTGCCTTTTTTATATAGGTAATATATTATTTTGCACACAATTTGTTCTAGATATGAGCAGATTTTACTGGACCAGGATCCCTTGCCTTCCTATGGCCTGAAGCTGTTGTTAGCTCTACTGGAACATAATGTGGCATTTATTAAGTAAGTTGCAGTGTTTGCCTGTGTTAGCATCAGGTGGCACACTGTTCAGTGCTATCATCTTAAGTTAAATCAGTGGTGTAAAGAGTTACATGAAGATAACTGAAAAAAATCTGATTTAAAAAAAATGTAGTTGTAGAAATGACCTGATGAAGGTGCACATTTAGAATTGTCTTCTACCAAACATTACATACATGATTCACTTGGGACATCTTTCTGAATGTTATCAGATAGACTTTATGAGTGACTTTGTAATTTTCTTCTGTCAGGCAGTTTGAATCACTGGGCCTTGTACAGGTGCTCTTTCAAGTTTTGTTGGTAAGTACACAAGGTTTATCATTGTATACATTTGATCTAACAACGAGATGTGTCTTCATACTGGCATGCATATTAATTATATGTAAGCATGTGCATTTATGCATACAGCTGTGCATAGATTAATTTTATAGAAAAAGTCATTTAAAACAAATTAACCTCAGAACTAATAATTAATTAGCATTCTTACTGAGTAAGACTATAGATTGACATTATGTAGTCCAATTTTATGCTATTATGTGAACGTTTTATATTTTATGTTAATAAATTATATAGTTTGATATTGTTATATTTTATAATCTTACATTATGCCATTATGATTTTATGTTATATAGTCCATTATTTTCCAATTATGTATGTATGTATGTATGTATGTATGTATGTGATTATTATGGTCCATTATAATGCTATTTATGTGATATTAGGACCATCAGAGTAACCCTGTGAGCAATGCAATGCAAAGTATGGTAGGAATTCTCAACTGCCTGGTTTCACACAAGGAAACTGATATACAAGACCTGTATGACCAAGGTGGGTACCTTAAGGCTGTTCCTGGATTTTCAAAATTTAAGTTTTACATCTCAAAATGAGAACTTATTTTTGAAACAGCGAGAAGTGCACAAAACAATAGAGCATTTATCGTGCTACACTGGAGTTTTTTTTTAAATTTTGTGTTAGGACTACCACTTTCCACACTGGCATTCTTAGTGTAGTGCACAGAAGAGTATTCAGTCATTGATGGACAAGATTCATCTTGGAGTTTGTATTATTGATATTTTATCTTTCAGGTCTTGTTGATCATTTGTCCAATGTGTTCATAGAGGTGACCTCATTACACATGAGTTCAGAAGACAAAGGAGATCCTAAAACACTGTCAGCCATGATGAACTCACTGTTGGAAACCATACATTACCTGCTTAAGAATATCTCCGAGGTGGTCAGGAAGGCTCTCCATGTAATTATTATAATAAAGATGTGGATTCTGGCTATTTCCTCCATTAATCATATGTTTTTGTGGGGAAATAAATTCACACTTTTTCATTTTTAAACATTAAGTTATATTGATTTCAACTTGAGAAATGAAGTACTTGTTTTGATGAGAATAATTGGCACAGGAAGCAGTCATCAGAAGCACGTATGTAACATCATCTTTATTTTACCTCTAAATAGTATGTAATTGTTTAACAGTACATACAGCAAAATATATTGGACAGTTTGATGTCTGATGGAGATTCACACTTTACTCCAGATCTGAACATACATGCTTTGATAGATGCATTAATAGTATTGTGTTTCTTTCAGTCTAAAAAAACTGGTGGTACTGATAACACTGATGCAGAGATGGCAGAACAGTTGCTGTTGAACAACAAACCTTTCACAGAACTCACAGGATTACTCACACAGCTGGTATGCTATTGCTATTGCAGTGACTTTTATGCAGTAACAAAGTAGACAATTACTCCTAGTGTGTTTTTCATATTTTTTAAAAAACAATTATGGCACTTTAGTGCCCAGTTGGAATGATGCACATATTTTATCAAAGATACTGAGTTACTTCACATCAGACGTGTCATACGATCAGGTATAGCCTCAGGTGGAGTGCAAGATGTAGGAGACAATGAAAGAGTTTACTAATAAATCATTTTTGTGAAGTATTGACATTATATGTATTTTGCTGGTTGCTCATGAAAGATTGTTATTTTCAGTTGTGTCATGAGGAGAGTGACATCCAGGAGCTGGCCTGCAAGAACCTGTCCCTGATGGTACAACTCTATGGGGGAGAGTATCCAGAGTCTCTGTCACCTGAAAACATGGTAAACATCACATGACAATGCACGCACAAATTAAACACAAAATACTTCTGTTTTGACACCAGTTTTTTTTTTCCACAATCCCCAATATCTTTGAATACTTGATTTATCATTTGATCAAATCATCAAACTTGTATTAAATGTTACAGGAATGCTACAGTGAGGCTCTAAAAATGGCAGATTCAAAAAAACAGAAAATCATTTTGAGAATCATCAAGAGATTGGTAAGTAACATGGTGCACAATGCCTGTGGATGCAGTTTATAGCAAGTGTATTTGTATTTGTGTATTTTCTATCATATTTAAAACTGAGTTGTACAGTAGATTTGAAGTTTTCGAAGAGGTTGCTTTAATGATGAGATCCACAGGTGTCAAAATGTTTCATAGAGAAAATTGAAGTAAATGTGGAAATTGCAAGTCAATTTATTCATTTTAGAGATGATGCTTTTAAATTAAAACTTTGTGACTGATACCTGAATTGACAAAAGTGTCCTTGATATCATATATGTAATAATCATTTGTGTGTTGTCCCAGGTTAGTACAGGTGAGGAACATGCCAGGATGTTGAGGGAGGAGGGATCACTGCTCACAGATACAATGAAGAAACTGGCAGATGCTGCTAGGTAAGGGGGTTCACATACTGGGCCAGGTAAATGGGCTCACATACTGGCCCAGGTAAGGGTACTCACATACTGGCCCAGGTAAGGGAGCTCACATACTGGCCCAGGTAAGTGTACTCACATACTGGTCCAGGTAAGGGTACTCACATACTGGCCCAGGTAAGTGTACTCACATACTGGCCCAGGTAAGGGGGCTCACATACTGGCCAAGGGAAGCGGGCTCAACAAACTGACTTTTGACCTATTAAACAGGCCTAAGGCTTTAATGAACTCAAACTTACTTACTTTACTTAAATTATTTTTTAATGAAGATTACGTGGTATTGAAAAAAAAAAAAAAAAAAAAAATATATATATATATATATATATATATATATATATATATATATATATATATATGTAGCCAAGTGCTAACAAGCTCCCCCAGCTTACATTGCCCTGGCCAGAGGTCATATGTCAATAGTGATATACTAAATTTTGGTTCCACTACCTAGAAACTTAGTTGCCCTATAAAATTATCATTATTTCCTAATGATAAAAAAGTAAAATATTTTTAATAAGACTAAACCTTTTTTCTTATGGGGTATGGCATTTCAATTCTACATATAAGGGTTTACTTCACTTATCCTGTTTTATTTTTTCTATTTCATTTTTAGCTCGCATGCAGATGTAGCACTATCCTCACTTGCATCAGAGATCTTAAGATCTGCTGGACTGGACTGAATGTAACACTTCATCCAAACTGTGAAGAAAAAAATTTTCAGGATGTGTATTTTGGAATAACATAAAACTTACAGAGATACAGTAAATCGTACTGTTAAACGTGCATAATAGCAGATTGGTAGAAACAAGATACGTTTTCTGTCAGGCAAACAAAAAGCTTTTAGACTAGATTTGTCTCACTTATTGCATCATGTTAAAAGGTGTAAAACGATTGCCTCAAAACTTATCCATATTATTGTACCACCAGCGTTAGCACTGGCGGTACACATGGTTTCGGTCCCGTCCGGATCGTTCCGCCGGCTCCGCCTGGATAGTTTGTCATGTCTTCATGTGTTGACTGTATTTTTATTGGCAGCTGTACAAATATTTAAGCAGCTTGTGTGTAAATTTGATGTTTTGCTTGTATATATTGATGTATGTACAAATAAATCTGTTTTGATTTTAAATAAACTTTGAACCTCTTTTCTTTTGTGCTGTGAAGGAACCAAATACAAACTGTAACTGAAGTTTCACTCAACTCAAAGTAAAATGAAGCATTTTTCACATGAAATTCTTTCACAGAATTTTAAGTCACTTTTATTACAAGTTTTTCCATTCTTCACAATATAAAATGTGTTATTATATGGCTATATTTGTGCCAAGTCAAAATCAAACAAACTGTTCCAACATTGTTGTTCCAACTTTGGGATGGGGAGGGGGGAGAATTTTTTTCATGTATTACCTATTTATCATTACCTTCAAAACTTTTTTCCATAAAACTTACAATGTAGCAAGAAAAACCTCAAGTACCCCTTCACAGACATCAACGAGTTTGCTTCAACAGAAAAACTCAATTATAATTATTGAAAATTTTATAATTCACATTGCACATGTATGAGCAAATTGCCTTGCAGCAATCAAATACTCCGAAACCAAACCACAAGTTAATTACAGGACTGGGAAGAAAAAGATATTGGTTCTCTTTTAACCACTGAGATCTTAAGTGACTATCTACAATAACACAACTGTTGATACTTGTTAACTTTCACAATGAGAGCACCGAGTAGATCTGCACCTGAAGACCTGAAACTGCTCATAACTGACCAATTAAAAAATACCTTCAAAATACCAACTGTTATGGTTAAAGGCATCTTGGTAGTAGTAGTATAACAATGCAGGTAAAATACCAATTAGCCATGCAAAGGACCCACGTTCTAGCATATTCTCCCCATGTTGCAAAAAGTTCCTCTCTGAATTGCCCTTGACAGCAACATACACACTGCTCCTATTTAAGTCAGCAAACACCAAGCAAGGTCATCCTTGTTGAAATCTCGGTTTCCTGAAATTCCATGTGTTCATGGCTTTGGTGCCAAGCTTCACTTTTGTGAAATTTCTCAATCCTTTGTTACAGAAACTGTCTATAAAAGGAGGGACCATTGTGCCATTTTCTTTGCCACTTGGTGCACTCAAATCTTGGTTTACCTTTTTGCATATCTCTGAATATAGTCTCTTACTTTATGTTTGAAACTCTCCTGGAAAAAAATCATAAAGTAACCATTTTAATTTCACTTATTCTACTACAGTATAGTTAATTACCTCCGCCAAGGAGGTTATGTTTTCACCCCTGTTTGTTTGTTTGTTTGTCTGTCTGTTTGTCATCAACAGAACTCAAAAAGTTACAGACGGATTTTGATGAAATTTTCAGGAACTGTCAGAAGTGGGCCAGGGAAGAGATGATTAGTTTTTGGTGGTGATCCAGATCAATAATCAATCAATAATCAAAAGACTAAGTTATGGACCGATTTGGATGAAATTTTCAGGAACTGTCAGAAGTGAGCCAAGGAACAGATGATTAGTTTTTGGTGGTGATCTGGATCAATAATCAATAATCAATCAATAATAAAAAATATCAAAAATTTAGGGGTTGGAGACTTTGCTGCCTTGGCGGAGGTCTGCGTTCTCTGAGTGCTTTTTTAGTTTAATACATACTGTTACGATGATGACATACTAAAATTTTATCTACTGCTAGTACCTAATGAAATATATGATGCACATTCAGTTTCCATCACATTCACTTGATTTGTTAGATGATTATTTTGAAAAGAAATGCAGGTAAAATTATTTTGATCTGTTTTACAGAGTGGCTAAATGTGCTAAAAGATGTTACTCACTTTGTCTCTCTCATAATGTTCTGCTGCCTCGACATTTAATGGGTCATCAAAATTAAGGAGGTCCTATACAGGAACAATAACAATTCATTATTTTTAAAAACGACTCACAGGGTACAAGTTAAAACCTATTATAGACATATACACTGATTTTAAAAAGTGAATCTCAAAAGTGAAAAGTGACCATCAAAAGAAGAAAGTCAAACAAAGTTCAAAATTGTCTTATAACTTCATCATCAAACGGATTTGAAATATACTTACAGAAAATAGTGAATTTAGCCCCCATATGACATCTTTTAGGTGTCTTGTAGGTGCCCATCCTTTGATAATAATAATAAATTAATAATAATAATAATAAAAACATATTTGCTATGTCAATTTCATAAAAATTTTAATTTGAATAATTTGACAATTTATTTTGTGCACATAAGAATTCAGTGAATAACATATCATCAATTTAGAAGATTAGAGTAATTTTTCCACCTTTACCCAAACTGCAGACTTTCTTAATATAAACAGCAGAACACCACCTCCTAACCATGAAAATGTCAATGTCTAACAAGAACTAAAAATTAAAATCTTTCTATAAGTTTAAGTCTATGTTCAATCATTGCAAAAGTTATCAGAATCCCTATCAAATCACATTGATAAGAATAATATAGAAGCAAACAGTTTTATAGGATTTTTTATTAGGAGCATTTCTTACCCATACTATCTATAGAGTTGGTTCGTAAAAGACTAAGGCAAACTTCTCCATCCTCTGTAATATTTGGATGCCATATTCTAGTATTGCATCTGACAGTTGGTGGCTAGAAAAAACAAACAATTCATAGTCTTAAGGCTTTCATTTTTATTGAAGATCAATATGCACAGTGTACCTGATAAGTGATAATCCAGATAAAAAACAGAATACATTTCACTTAAAACACTGCTTGGTTTATCAAAACAGAAGAAACGCCATTATGGACCTTAGGTACATATAGCCACAAGTTAAGCAGTCAAAATTCTATTAGGAGCCAAGAAGAACTAACAGAATCTAATCTGTTAAAATTTACAGATGAGAAGCAGAAGCCCTGCAGAAAATCAAACAGAAGTTTTAAAAACAACCACTCCTCAACTTACCACCATGTTATATTCTTCTGGAACATCTATAGAAAATTTATATTTCCCACCAGCATAAAAACCATCATCTGGTGTGATTGTTAATGAAAATTGATTCAGTTTGTTGGGATCTTCAAAATGTACTTTACAGCTTTTGGGCGTGTTAAGTTCCATTTCTTGTACCTCTGAAAACATGTTTTTAAAATATTACAATTTTATACTGAAAAAAATTTAATGTGCTTACATAAACTTTTTCATTCACTTTGGAAGAATGGGTGTGGTTACAACATGTTTCTATTTAGAAAGTAAATTACTGCAAAACAACAATAACAAAGAAGTGTACTTCATCTAGAATTAATTAATAAAACATTGACCAACCTTTGACCAGCAATTTATCCCTGATGGAGACTCTCCGCCCACAGCTGTCATCAGAGGCCCCTCCCGCCTGCTGTGCATGCTGCTGCTTCAGTTTCTTTGCAAGAGTGATCATCTCATGTGGCTGGAAACCATAACAGTTAATGCTACAGATCTTCATCATTGAATACATGAAGGTAAAAATTATATTCATTATATGTCATGATACATATTTTATGCTTTTTTTTCAACTCATTTAACATAAACAAGAGTTACTTTGTTTTATGCAGTCTCCTCTGTCCACTGTTTGCATTTTTGTTGTTCTGATACTTCCCTATAACTTGATTCTACTGAAATTTTATTTAAAATATAATTTAAAAAACTGTATCATACATTTTACTTTATTAAAATAAATAGTTATTAGAGATGAAAATGTTCTTTGTTCTGGAGGGCTATTTGCACTTAACATGCCATAATACCAACTTCATCCTTCAAAATCTTTCTCCGTCATCCTTGTTGTACATGTATCTGTGACACGTTTTCTAATTTTTGAATAAAATATCCTATAATTTCTTAGTTTCACTGTAGAACCTGAAGGGATATCCCAAGTGTTATGTCTCTAGCACTCCTATTCACATTTTATATTATTCAGCTAGCTAGGGTCAGAGAAGCTGTTGATGCCAAGAAAAAACTGTCCATTTGTTGTTTTATCAAAGGTGAGTTTGATATATCAGGGTCGTGTCAATACTCCCCGGCACGCTTAATCCTCCGTACCAATAATCCCCCTTAGTAATTTTTTGTATCGGTGCGGGGGAGTATTGGTGCGGGGACGTATCGACATGTAACCGATATATCACAGCATTTATTAGGATAAAAAAAGGCCCTTTGTGACGAAGAGCTAGTGGTCAGATTTCCTCAAAACTCTGGGCAAAATTCTCTGACTTTTCATCAGGGTGGGACACTAACTTGAAATTGCAAGGGACAGGGCATATTTAAGGCATGTGTATAATCAATTAAAAGTTATTTTTGTCGGATTTAAAACAAGAACAGCCAAAGTTAAGATTAAGAGATTAAGATAATTAAGATAAGAGTTTATTCAGCCATTAATATATAAATATAAAATTCATATAAAACGGAAATTGGACTGCTATTCGGGTTACAAATTATAAATAAATAAATTATAAATTTCCATTTTTGTTGTTAAAATAAGACACAGCAGATGGGTAAAAACTCTTTAAAAACCTTTTAGATCCCTTAAAAGTTAAAAGCCTGCAGTTGCTCGGTAAAAATTTAAAAAGCCCATGTGCGGGGTGGGTATAGTCAGACATGATTTTCTCTGTTTTTGTTACTGATCTATTAGTATAGATGGCACCTAGAGAGGGGAGTTCCAGACCGATGATTTTGCCGCACGTTGATGTGACCATATCTA